TCAACAAACTGGCCCCGATCGTTTCATCTCGCCAGGCTTAAATCCTTCCCGGTAACCTGTTTCGATCCTGTCCCACCGTTTCCTCCTCTCCTCCTTCAAAAGGACTCGCGCCTTTTCCCAATATCTTTCGTACCGGCAATCAATAACCAATCGCGGGTATGCTCGTAATTCTTCTCAGCTACGTTTAGCGTGGAATATTTGTAGCAATTAGCCGGCAATTTCTGCCAACGTGTCGGTTATTACCTCTATCAATTGGCCCCCTTTAAGCGAGATAATTATAGATCACCGTGTACGTTATCCACTATTGATTATTCGTTGCTGTGTCAAATATGCGGCACAGATCGCGGCCCGCCTTTCAATCCTTTATAATTGAATGAATTCAACGCGAACGGTATTTCTATCCACTATTGCAGCCAATTGCCGCGTTACCTTCGTCGAACAGGTATATCGAAGGCACTGTCTTCTAAGGTTAATAGTATCTCCATCGAGAAAGTTTTCGATTTATTCCGTGTCTCGTCGACGATATTCGTCGTCGATAAAACACAGTCTCGTTGCATCACAATGCGCGCTCCTCTGTCGACACGGTGCCGCCGCGAATTCGCTTCGAGACCCGTCGGGGTCATCGATCGATCGATCTGCCCGAAAGAATCGGTGACGAGAGGCTGGAAGAAAAAACGTTACGACACTGTAGCTCCAGTTTCGAGCAGACTGACCCGCTGCTTCTCCGCTCTCTTATTCCACGGGATTCGAACGCTAGGATGCAAGAAATTCGCTGCCGATCGCTCGATCGATCGGCCTGCCGGTCGTTCGGCGCCGATTTCTCGGCGGGTGTTCCCTATATACGCGGCCACGATCGTCGATATTCTTTTTCAGGAAGATCGATGGCTCGCGGCCTTATATCAACGCTACACCTCGATGCGCCGCATTGTGGCTCGCATTAAAACCTCTTCATCGAATTTCCTCTCCTTTTTCTACGCTCGTCGCCGAGATATTAATGCCCAATTTCATTAATCCTCCACGGGACTCGGGGCTCATTGTGATCCACTGTTGTTTAATTACATCATCCCGAGTTCTTTCCTTTCGTCCTTCTTCCGAATTTATAATCGGTACGTTTCTTCGATATGAAATGTATAAATCATTGCTGCAACGAGCAACGAAACGTCATTGCGAAAAACGGCGGATCGACGGCATTCGCGAACACGCGTGAAAGCGGTCGTGAAAGAGGCACAGGTGGTGAAACGATTGCTTTTACGTCGAGCCATTAAAATCGGACTCGATCGTCCCGCATAATGGGATCGATTTGTAGCAGCCGGACACAGTAAGCAGGAATCCACTTACCCGGGAAACGACATTTCGTTCGAAAGCGTACGGATAAACTAGCTATAAGCGAGCAGCAGAATCGACCGTCGTCATCGTTTCTAATCACTGAATCGTGAACGATGTTCCGCTAGTTTCGTCCTTTCCCTCCTCGACTTTCAAATCTTCTATTTATCGCGTACTTCGTTTCGAAAATTTCATCCGTACTGTATATTTAAATCCTCGCTTGATAAATACCTTCGAGAATAATTCTCTTTTTCCTCATAACAATCTAGTTACACTAAGCTTCGAAGAAGTCCAAAGGAATTAATTAGTATGACAAGGCAGTTCCAACAAAAACAAAATCACTTTCATCCGGTTGCTCGTAGAAATTCCTCCTTTATTCATCCTCGACTAAGCAACTTCCTTATATTATACAACCGACAACTGAATACGAATTAATCAGGAAGAAACAAAATCATCCTCAAGATTAAGTCACTTAACATTCCATTCGCAACGGGGTAATATTTTTAAAACTTCGATGTTCTAATTCCTTGGAAGCCCATCTGATTACCGTCTAATGAAAGAACCTTTTATTAACTCTTAAACCTACAAACCTACAAATTCGATAATTTAGTCGAAATTGTTCTATCGTTGATTGTCACCCCTGATGGATCGTATACGAAATCGTGTCGAGTGCATTTCGGGAGGGAGAAGCTGAGGAAGGTTAAAGGGGGTTGGGTCAGATGGAGACCGCATGGGTGTATCATTACCAGGCTGACCCCTCCCGCGACTGATCTTTCAGAATCTGGAGCAGACCGTTTCACATGTGAAAGGATACCGGTTGTGTCAACGCGTAATTATTGTCGCGTTTCACGGGCGGGATCGCGGCTCGCGAAACGGACAATAATTCCGCAGCGGACCAGTGCTGGTGCTCGAGTGAAACGTCTTGTAGGACACCGAAGCCGGTCACGAAACGAAGTTTAGAACAGAAACCGCGCCGAAGCCTGAGGCTTCCTCCAGACCTTGCTTGGAAACGCGGAGAAGAGAACGACGTCGATCGGAATTTCATTGGAAATCCGACTTTCCCACACCCCCCTGGAGATGCTTTCATTTTTAATGCACGATTTCCTCGAGCTTCCTCGTGATATCAACGTGAAAGGGTTGAAAGAAAATGCTACAGATAATTTTCGAAAACAAGAAGAATATTATCCGGGCAGAACGCTCGTGCCCGTAAACTTTTTTTTATTACCCTGCCGTGATTCCATGGCCACGAAGGGAGCAACGGTTGTCGACAGTCGCCGGACAGTAATGCGAGCGGAAATTACTGCTATTAGCGATTGTAACGTTGCTGCGAGAAGGCCGAATATCGATCAACGTCCACGGCTAACGATACGTTCTCGCCAGATATAAAAACAAATCTATAATTTCCACCAACGAAAAAGCGTTTCGCGTGCCAACCGGAGACAATAAAGCACCGGTGGCCGGCAATTTTACATAAATGAAATTATCCTTTTACTGCCCTAATTGCTTTCGAAACGTCCGCGAGCCATTGCCTCCGTTGAACAGCCTCCTTCTCGTCGCCGCACCACCGCACCGGTGTATCTCGGATCCGATCGAGATCGGGACGAACGTAATCGATCGAAACATGGCTCAATCGCGGCTGCCTGCACGCGTCCCGATTACGCTCGCCGCGGGCCACGATTCCGACTGATCGTGAATTTTAATTCGACCAGCGAGGGTGTAATTAGAGTATTGCGGCGGCGATTCGGACTTGGCCAACGCTCGAAATGAAATCGCCGACCGATCCAGTCGTTCGTGAACTCGCCGGGGCACCGTGAGAGGAACGAGCTGGAAAAAGGAACAAATATGCACGCTTATCGATCTTACAAGCGGCATGTGGGAACGCGTCATAATTAGGTAAAAGGAAAAGAAGTTACTCGGCTCGGAATCAATGGAACGCGATAATAACGTCGGGCAGGATTGAAAATTTCCCGTAACGAGGACACCTACACTCGGCTAACTATTATGATAAAACACGCACAGGTAAATATACGCGGTGAAACTGCCACGCGGGGTTCAGCCGGGTCAGCTTTGATGTCGATTTGAACCGTTTGACCGGTTCCAGACAGTCGTTAATCAGCTAGTGCTCCAATGGTGGTTTCTAATTGACGGCTAATTGAAGCGGACTGTTAAATGAGAAACACGATAACGAACAGCGCCGGATTATTACAAAACGTTGTTGCAACAGCGAACGATACGCGAAAGGTACCGAATGGCCAGTAATCGTACCTGATTACCATTTCCTCAAACGATGACGGCTGGCCGATGGAATTTTCGATGCACTTTTTTTAACCGATCCCTTCATTTTCTATGGAGTCAGGTGTTTTCCCTCCATTTTAACGTTCCAGTGTTACGGAGAATTTAAGACACCAGAAGCGATGGAACCAAGTGTCTTCTCGACTTATCTTTGCATCTGTCCTACTGACAGATTGTTTCCCGAAGGAACGAAAGCGTGCCGAGCACACGCGGCCGACTATTTTTGTACGACACTTTCGAGCAGCCTCCTGCTTTTCAGTGTAACGGAAAGATTCGGCTTCTCTGTTTCAAGTTTTTCACGTGCAGATAAAATTCTTCCCTACTGAGAAACGAAAGAGTCCCGTAGGCGCGAAACGAAACAAGAGAAATCCTCGTTTTCGATAAGTCGTCGGCGTCTTCGGCGATGAATTGGGACCCGGAGAGTGATTTATACCGCCTCGGGATGAATCATCCTCGTCGGCAAAAGAAGCTGGATAAGTATATAACCGTGTGTCGATGCCGGGAAGATTACCAAGATTTCAGCTCGATACGAGCCCGATCCGGAGGTGTGTGGGTGCGACGAACAGGCGAAGGAGGATCGAGCGTGCATTTTTCCTCCGAAACCCCGGCTCGTTCTCTCCTCCGTCGTCTCGTATCGCGGAGAAAGTTAGCGCATACACGTGAAAGCAGTCGGTAGAATCATGCGAGGACTTCTCCCGGTGTCGAGGATCAAACGTAACGTTACTGATATCGTTATCGACGCCCTGATGCAGTTACTACGAGATTATCCTCGCATTCCGAACGCGTCTTCGGACACACGTGGGATCGAGTTTTGCACAGAATGCAAAATATCCGCGACTGTGACCATTTTCAGAGGCCATTCGTTCGAGCGTTACGCAAGATTAACGTCTTATTTCAAGTACCAGGCTACCGATTCATCCAAATTCCATGCTCGTTTTCAACTGGTCGATAAATCAAGCAGCCTATCCTCCCGGGCAATTAACGTGCGGAGGAATTTCCAGGCTATTGAACGCTGGTCATTCGGGATTCAAAGGTGCCGAAAGGCGCGGCGATGGAAAATGAAATGGAACACGCGTTTTGTCAAGATCGTAAGGTAAATTTGCACGTAAAAGGAACTAAATGATAAAGGAACAAGGACCTGCTGCCGCATGTTTCGGTTTAAGTTCCTTCCAGCGGCACCTGGCGTTCAGTCCTTGAACCTTCGGGGCCGCGCCTTCCGGGTACCAGGGACCCACACCCACACACACCTACACGCAAACGTAAAAGTACACTTGTACAGAGAGTGCGGCTCGCACACACGTGTTCTCTCCCCCGCAGCAAAGGCAAAGGCAGTGGCGTAGCCAGTATGTAAATCAGTTCGTTCCTTCGGCTTCGCCACGGACTAGCCGCAGCGTGAAACGGTGCTGCGAGGGAGGAAGGAAAGCTCGTCGAAGATTCGCCTTCTTCGATTTCGATTAGCACGAACCGACGTACGCTGGGATCGAGCGTGAACAAGCGACCAGCGAGAGGAAATTCGAGAAGGTAAGGAATCGCGATCCTGGATAGGCGAATTTCTGTTTGAATTTCGTGAGATTGTAAATTGCGATTTTTAAATTCTGGGTTAAATTAGAAGATCGGAAAAAAGGCGCCAATGGAAGCACCCTGTGGCACGCGTTGCTACAGGAAAACACCCTCTCGAGCAGGATTTAGATGTTCCGTCATTTCCTGGCATCCACTTCCCGATACGACACGTGTCCCCCAGCCACGGTAGTCGTAATGCATCCCAAAACGAGGGGGAGAAGACGATTTATTAGGAAGCAGGAGCGTAATGCACCTAACGAAACTAGGATTCTATAAATATTCATCTACACCAATATTTTTCATTCATATTTATCCTTTCTATTAATAAAAACCATTTCTAACTTTTAAAAGTGTACTTATTTTAAACGCAATCATTAATGTTGACCTAATAAATGAAACGGCGTAACATAGTGGACTCCTTTCACTCAAACTTTACTAGAAGGCATTGAGGGGCGACATATGCAACATATTAGATCCGTCGAGATGAAAAAATCAAAGTACAATACCTGTGCAAGAGAGTAACAAGACGCGTGTCACAGGTACGAAGACAGGCTCGAGTAAATGATAATGTCAAGCGGTTACCCTTTCTCTTTTTCGCTTTCGGGGCTGCCGCCGCGACGCGACGGGAACACGCAGCTTCGTGCGAGCACAAATGAGCCCGATGTTCCATCTGGTCGACGTGAATCCTGGTGCATGTCGCGAGCCCACGCCCAGAATTCCCGATCCTCTACATCACCCGGGGCCACCAAATGATATTGTTGCCCCGAAATCTCGCCGTTCCCCCCGTTACACGCGGCGAATCCGACGCCAGAAATCGGCGGAACGAGAATTCCATCGCTTGTACCGTGAAACACGACATAAGATTCGAAATACAAGAAAGGGAACAGATCCAGCGATCCTCTATAGTGATTCTCAATTCGTCGGAAATCGATCGGTGAAACATATCGTTTTTAATGAATAAGGCTAATTATCGATAGGCGTTAACGTTTTGGAATTCAATAATTGGCGTTTCGAATCGTTAAGCGTACGAGATGCGATTCAGAAGCTATTAGCGTCGAAAATAAAGCGATCTCTCGATACGATCGGTTTCTCTCGGCTCTCAACTGCCTTATTGTTTTTAGACGTTGCTCTTTGGGCGTGGAGATCGTATCGGTAGATTCACATGTTGCGCCCGTCCTCTCCGTTGATTCGACAATGTCTGAGCGCGGAAGCTGAAAGGTCACGGAAGACACCTAAGTGGAAATGCAAATAAATTACTGCGACGGCCATGCCCACGATTATTGCGCCACCCCGTGCATAACCGTCGATTTGTAATTATAATGCCGCAATTAGAAGGCTGTCGTGATCCTGAGAGATCTACCGGCCCGATCGCAAGGACGATTACGATCGGACCGCCGTGTATAGCCGATCTAAGCTTAATCTTAAATGTAAAGTCTCCTCCCTCGTTTGACCCGCTCGTCGCGGTTAGGTCTTGGGAAACTAGGAAGAGAATCCAACGACATACACCGTTAGTTTTTTCAATTACCCACCGGTGAGCTACGATGGATTGTCGTAAGACAGCTTGATGACTTGTTTAGAACCCCATTGACAGCTGATCCTGGCTCATTCGAGACTCAACATTAAATCTGTCTTATTTCCAGTGAGACCGATTGTTTAATTACACGATAAATCCTAGGTTTTCCTTGAAAAGAGCTTTCGAATAACACGATCACGAGTGGTCATCAAAAAGTCCTGAACAATAAAATCCAAGTCCTAAGGTAAGAAACGATATCGAGGTTTAGTCGACTATTCTCTGCACCATAGAAACCGCATCAACCTCCCACCATGATCTCACCGAACAGTCTATGGGGTTGTTCGAGCCAGAGGATAGAGAGTGTCGGCGAGTAGTGCACTTGGAGACTTAACGCGCTGCACTTACGAGCACGTGCCTTAGGAGCGTAGGTGATTCGATAAAGGTTCTCGCGCATGTACGTCTCAATGGTGGTCGAAGGATGGGTCCAAGTCGAGGGAAGCGGAAAGGAGCGGAAGAGAAACAGAGCGCGAAGGCGCGAACGCAGCGGTGTACAAGGGTTTATGTAAAACGGCATTCCACGTAGTGGTGTCTACTCAATCCTTATCTAAAGCAGTTATATAGAGTCGTTGGAAGTCGCGCCTTCTTCAGAAGGTAATGCACGGCTCGGTTCCTCTCGCTTCCTTGAACAGAACCTATCTCTCCGCTTGAATCCTTCGCTCACACCAGTGCGTCTCCCGCACCGGTCTCTGCACGCATCCGAGTATTTGCCCAGAGTGCTCCACCCGGTATTCCATCGGTTTGAAACGACTCTCCTCTTCCGAAGCGCAGCGAACGCTTTCGAACGCGGCTGCAGGGTTATCGAAACACGGCGAAAGCTAGCCTGGAGTTCTCCAGAACAGGCTGCGATCAAGCCGTAACGCGGCTATACGCGGATGGTTCATCCTGATAAAGATATCTTCGGTTAAGCTACGATTCCGATGCGGCCAACCACGGCTCTAGCTTGTTCCACCGTTTCCAGGTACCTGTAACGTTGCACCGGTGCATCGTGCACGCGGAACTCGAGCTCCAGATAACCGATGGAAAAAATCACCAAGAGGTTTTTCTGACCGTGTACTTATGCAAGTACGTGGAAGCAGCGAGCGTGGCATCGATTTCGAATCAATTAACCTTCGACGAGAGTGGAGGGCCGTCGGATACGAGGAGGGCAACGTCTGTTCGATCCTCGGAGATAGAAACGCTTAAGTCGCCCCGAACGAGCGGTCAGCTCGTTAATATCGCATCGTCGGCTGTTTTAAAGCCGCGGACAGGTGATTAAACGAGAAGAAAGACATCATTTGTCGCGTATCTGAACCTCGATCAGCTCGTTTTACGACGTTCCGTTCGAGATAGAGGGGAACGTACCGCGGACGATGAAAGAAGAAAAAAAAAGAGAAAAGAGTCCTGTTGCCCTCGATTCGATTGGACCCCAGAGCATCGTCTGGCCGGTCGACCCCTCGCACGTAGAAAGGCGTGTCGGAAAAAGTTCCAGATTACGCGGCGAGTGTAAGTTTAGTGGCATCGTAAACCGGTATCTTTACCGTCCGACGCCCACGCGTCCACGCACTATCCTAGAGCGATCTGCCTATCAACCGGCGTGAAAACTCGGTTTAACACTCTCGCGTACTTACTGAGCCTTTCGTGACAAGTATCCTGGCCTCGGCCTTACTTGCATCCTGGCTCCCAAGCGCGGCTATACGTCTCCTCAACATCGCTGAACGGACGACCCATAGAAACGATTAAGTTCCATTTACATTCAATCGTACCATTATGGAAACTGGGTTCACGGGAGTCGTATTTGGCGAAAATTAACGCTCTCAAAGATTACTCGAAAAGGGAAATTTCGCGCAATGGTACAGGACCACCTGTGCCAGCGAACCGGATGTTCCATTGACCATTGTCCAATTCCGTAGGCGGTTCCATCCCGGAACGTAGCTCAACGAGACTTTAAATAGAGTTTAGTTACAGCTAGTCAGCAGGCAAGATCGACGACTCATTGTCAGGTACGCTGGTCTTTGACGGCTTCGAAAAGGAAGAAACGAAGGAAACAGGATTTTTCCGTGAAATTTTCCTCGCACAAATATCGCTCGAATCTCCGTCTACTTTTTAGTGTAAAGGAAAGGTGTACTTAGGCGTTGGCAAATAAACAGCCACCTTTCTTCGGGGTATCCGCACAGAAATTGACCTGCTATTTTTCCTTGCAAATCGCTTTCGAACAGCGTTGAAAGGTCTCTAGACGATGATCGAGCCGAGACGTTGCAAAGAAAACACGAGGCATCAACGCGTTGCCTGGGGAAGAACACTGGCCAACGTTAGACACGGTGCTAATGGATTAGTTCTACGCTCGCGCTGCAGCGCGTGGACCGTCTGTTAGGGATCGATTGCACCTCTGGAAAGGAAAGCGAGGCGCGTGGTCTGTATTTCACGGTTTACCAAAAAATTAGCCATTAATTTACGCCCAGTCTACGCTCGACGGCCCGAAGGGTGTTCCTTTCTCTTAATGAATAGCCTGTCGGTAATCGCAGCCCACATGGTGTTCCTACGAGGATTACCACGGAATTTCGGAACGTTTCCTTCTCTTTTCTCGAGAAAAATGCAACAGACGAACGATGGACACGCGCACAGAACGAATATTTGTACGTGTGATTACGATGATCCCCGGGAAGTGTGTCTTAAGAACGGTTCGTTCCTCCGCCGCGTCTGTCGCGAGAAAACATTGTCGGATCAAGCGCGAGAAAAACGACCCATTAGCCAGTCAAAGCTGGTTTCGAGGATTACCGGCGAAGTATAAATATTTTAACGAGAAACGTTATTCGAGTATTTGAAACTTTGTACAAGTCGGTAAATCCTTCGAATAATTCCGTTCGAAGTATCCTGTTATTTTTATCACATGCCTAATGTAAAAGATAGAAATTACATTCCGAATGCATGAACGAGATTTGCATGAAACAAGACACATAGTTAATCGGGTCACGCAACTTACTTGTTCATTTTATACAAAGATATTAGATCTCCATTCAACCCACGTTCGTGCAAGGTCGACACCTTGGGTGTGCTCATTATATGGTCATAATTACAACATTCTAACGAGCATTTTATAAACTCTGCATCTGAATTTATCAACAGGTATTTTCTATAAGAGACCATGGTGACAAGGCGTTAACGAAGCTACCCTCCCTCGAGTATTCTTCGCTTTCCTCGCGAGTCAAGCGGATCATCAACAGTGGTCGAGCCGTCTCGTAACTTTCATCGTAATTATGAATTTTTACGAGGCAGCTAGTCGGTGCGCTGGTGCAGGTGCGATAGAGATCTCTTTCCGTCGAGACCACCAGCGCACGTTTCTGTAACCAGCTGAACCGGCGGAGCGTTCACGGGGCTCGTTCCATTAGCCATCGGCGTGCGCCGTAAGACCCCACAACCGAGAGATAACCCTTCTGTCGGCGCGTCGAAATATTTTAATTCCCCGTGGATGGAAACGCCTCGTTCTCTCGCCTCGTCTGCGCTAACTCATCCGCCGCGCCGGTACCGGCCGAACCAAATTACGATCATCCGCGTCGAACGAGGCGTGGTTTCTTGTAAATTCCATCCTGATAAAAGGCCCCGAGAGGCGGCACACCGGTAACTATGTCGCGTTCGATGTATCGAGGTCGCGTTTTCACCTCGAGGTGCCAGCTCCTCGCTCCACGAAGGTTATCCGCAAACAGGCACAATACCTCGACCACGCGTATCCATTTTTCCACATTGCTGAATACAAGCTATGCCCTATCAACTAATTCTGATCTGGATATAGATCGACATCAC